GGTTCCAGGTATGGCAGCTAGTGTAGAACCTTCAGGCAGACTACTTAAATTAGACAATGACTAAAGTTGTATAAGTGGCTAGTTGTATACTCTTTCTATGATTGCCCCCTGTAGTTGTAATGCAACCATTAGCTAAATGTACTATCAATAAAATCCTGGATCACAAGTACTCACCTTAATATTTAAAAAAAAAAAAATAAACTATTATAAAAGAGTATATAATTGGTTATATATATAACTTTTCTATATTACCTATTTAAGAAGTTTGTCTAAAAGTTTTCTACCAATTGTTATATCTAATATTTTTACTTAGATGTTTTACTTTAAACCCTCTAAACCTGCAATCTGTATTAATATCAATAAATTATTCTAAATATCCAGATCATTGTTTCAACCTTAGAACTATTTTATCCTTGAAGTAAACTTCTCAGAGTCTTCTGTATTTATTTTTATAACTGATCTAGATATTATTATAACAGAATTAATACTTACAATCAGAACTTAACCATTAAACTGCTATGCTCTTGTAGAGTTCACACAGACCTTAGCATCTACTTTATAATATAATCATAATACTTTAGTATATCTCTGCTTTTTTATTTATCTTTTTACCAACTTCTAATCTAGATAACTTGTATAAGACTATGACTAGTCCATTAATATATTGGGTTAACCTAATATTCTTTTCCTTCAGTTTATTCCAGTAGCCTAGTTGGTAGTACCTCTGAGTCTTTTCCAACCCAAAGGTTCTTGCTCATTCAGGTATTATAACTAAATTGTATATTTTTAATCTATAAGCAATCTGATTTTTTTTTTATAATTTAAAAATAAATATTGCAAAAAAGTAATTCTTATTTTTAAATATTATTATATTATTTAAATATTTTAATATTACAAAAAAGTAGATCAAAATCAAAAAAAAATGTAAAAATACAACCAAATTTGCCTACTTTGACCTATAATTTAAGAAATAATATAAAATTTAATTTTTTACAAAACTTTTTTTTTTATTAACTTGGTCTCTTTTTTTAAAACACATTCTATTTATATTATTTTTGCTATTATTTCTTAATACATATACTAATAAATATTTGGTTTGTATCATCAAGTTAATTATAGACTGTTTTTATCTGTTAATGTTGTTTTTTGAGTTACCGAAATTAAGCACCTCCCGAAAATAAGCACCCCTGGCCCACGCATTATAACAATTTTGGCCTGCACTACATGCAAAAAAGAGGTGCTTAATTTGCTTAATTTCGGAACTATACAATACTTTGTAATTAATTAATTCAATTTATTTAAATTCTATGTTTTTTAAAATTTTTACTTTTATTTTTTGTTTGTTTTTAATGGTTGTTGAAAAAAATTTTTTTTACATTTGTTATCTATCACATCATTTGTCACTCTTGATAACAAATTGAAGACACTAGATATTTTACATAACTAATACTAATTTTATCACTGAGCCTTAGATCAGACTAGTCAGTTGACATATCATATACGTATTCGGAGCTTTAATTACATTACTAATACATACAAATTGATTATTAATTAAATCATAATACAAGTGACTCTCGATATAAGAAACCCTCGATATAAAAAAGACTAATTAAACTCTCGATATAAGAAAGTCAAGCCAAAATCTGTCTATAATAAAATCCACTCGATATAAGTTATTAATAAACTCTTGATATAAGAAAGTTTGGTAAAATTTTTACTATGAACCCAGCCACCTTTCTCATATCGAGATTCACTTGTATTATACTTTATAAAACACTATTAATAATTTCGGTTCATGTTCAAAAATAATGACCCATACGTTAAAAGCTAAATGAATTAGTAGAACCATGCATGGTAATGATACATGTTATGATTATGATGATTATGATTCATCTTCAGTTGAAGAAAGTTCACCTCGAAATATGACAACATTATTCTCGGTCTCATGAATTTTTACCTCATATAATTCATACTTGCCCTTTGGCAAGTGCTTTTGTATATTATTCCATATGAAAACTGCCAACATTTCAGTCGTACTATTGATTATGTATAAAAGACAAAACAGAATATAAATAATTAAATCTGGTTAATACACAAAAAACTTGACTTTTATTCAGTTCTGATGTCTACATCATCGATTTCGGATAGATAACGCAGTATTATCTTATCATCATAGAAATAATACGCTAACTATGTAGATTTGTCAAAATACTTCATACCTCGGACAATTGGCAAAATAAGGAACATCAAGATCCTGTGGATGTAAAATATGTATAATACAAAAAATCAAATCATTCTTTGTTGATAGGAGATCTAATAAAAGTACAAACCAGATTTTTATGATCCAATTCATCCAATATAGCGACTCTCATACATTTTTTCAGATCAGTTAAATTCATTACCATTCCCTTATGAGGATCGACCTTAAAACACAGGTACAGGATAAGTTGACATTAAAGAAATTAATATAATAGATTTTCACATTAATAAGTTTCATGCCTCGCCGCGTATTGTGATTTCAACTATATGCGACAAAGTAAAAACGAATTTTGAAATGTTAAATAGACCAATGAATAGGAATTCTTTGTTGGTACCTTGTCGCAAAGCGATAAATTTTAGAAATTCGTGCCATACCTATATAATTGTGCCCATGTCCATTTGGATTGTTGCATTTCCCATATAGCTCTTTGTTTTCTTCTTCCGTTAAGTATGGTGAATGCAATCGATGTGCGGCAGAAAAAGTCTCTTTTCGGCTCAAATATGCTATAGGGCACATACTAATTCAAAGCAAGTTTAAGTTCTTTAAAAACCGATTCCAACTTCTATTCTCTGTTATATTCCTCACGTGTTCTATTTTACGCAGATTTATTTCTGTATCCGAAATGTGTGACAGGTTATGTAATTGATCAATATCTGCCTATATAAGTAAATCGCAAATTTAATACGTAGTACTGGGGTGGGGCACGAATTAATTAATCAAAACTATGTTAGTTAAATTGATCATTTTACTACGATCAAATTTTTATCAGTAAGAAAAAGCGCCAAATTCTAAAGGATTCACCTGAACGTTGCACTTATTACTCTAACTTCTTTTGATTGAAAAATCTTCGCAAGAACTATTACAACAAAGTTACACTCAATTTTTTTAAAAAGTTCACATTTAGTTCTAATTTACAAATACCAAATAGAATTTTTTTAATAAAATTTGATATTTTATATTTATTGAATACGTAAAACCTGCATATTAATAAAAAACCTACAAGTGTAGTTTTATTATTCTATATTTTACAAACAACTTGTGAAAATTTCTAGGTAATACAATGTTTTGTTAATGAGTTAAATAATTTTGAAGTTAATGAGTTAAATAATTTTAAAGTAGATTATATTTAATTCAAAAGATGTCAAAAATTTCTAAACAAAAGCAACAATCACATGAGGCAAGTCAAGTTTCAGCAAATAAATGAAAAACTATTAAACATAAAAAAAATATAAGCAAAATTAATTAATGTTTAATGCAAATGAATGATGGTGAATTACAATTAGTTTACCAAAATATAATTCAGCAATCCAATAGTCAAGAGAAGAATAAAACTACACAATATCAAAAATTAATTAGTATGGTTGAAAAATTACCTGATGATCAATTAAAGTCTGTTATTCATTTGTTGAACACTATATGATATTCTAAAGATCATAATAAGAGTAATTTACTTTTACCATTTTTATAAGATAAGATTTTAAATTTTATAAATTCATCTTTTTATAAAGTGGGTCAGAATTCAAGTTCATTAATTCAAAGCAATAAGCATTTCAAAAACAAGTAAACTGATTAGAGTATTTAAATACAAAAAAAAAATTACAAAATTAGACAATTAATAGGAACTTTATTACAATATGAATGCAAGCAATATCAATATATATCAAGAGTATGTGCTGCAGCTTATAAATCTTTAATTATTAATTCTTAAAATTTAAAAACAACTATTCAAGTGATCCTTATGAAAAATAAATATCAATATTCAACTGGTTTTATCAATTTGACTACACAAATTTCACAAATCATTCAAATATTATTTTGAAATACAATTCAAGTTATATATTCAATTTTAGGTTTTTTAATTTGAGAAAGTTTACTATTGTCAATTTCAAGATGTTTTATTATTAGATAAAACAAAGAAATTAGTAAAATTTATACAAACAAAATCTTTAATTAAAACTTTTTTTAGAATATTTTATTTTTAAGATAATGTTAGATGAATCTACTTGAGATTAACAAAAAATATTTATGTTATGTATTATATATTAGATTTCTGAAAATAAAAAGTCAAATTTTCAAGTATTGGAAATAAAGAATTTAGTAGCTTATATAGGCAAATCAATTGTATAAACATTGCAAAACATTTTTAATTATTTTAATTTAAATTTTAGCAATGTTTTGTATATGTTATAGATAATACTAATTATATATTTAGCAAAACTGAAGGAGTAATTTCTTTATTTAATAAATTAAATAATACAAATATGTTTCAAATTCTATGTGAACTTTATATTATATATATTATAATGAACAACTTTGAAGAAATTGTTTTTGACAAATTGTCTAATATTAATATATTTTTGTAAAAAGAACATCCATTAAATCTTCTTTATTTAGACTAGAAACTTCATAATGGTTATAATAAAAGTGACAAAGACAAATCAATAAGAATATATTCTGATTATATTTGTTAACTTTATAAGAAATAATTTTAATTATTAGTTAAAAAAATATTAGCAATTTATTTGATCTAGATGGCTCTATAAATTAAAATGTGCTGAGCAATATTTAGAATGAAAAAATATTTATATAAAATTTACTGAATAGTTTTTATTACATTTTAAAAATCAAAATAATATACCAAAATTTTATATAAAAAAATAAGAATTATTTTATAATTGGTTTTAAAATCCAATTTTAAACATTCAAATTAAATTACTAGTTTGTTTTGAAAGAGATCTTTATTATTCTTTAATTAAATTTTTTACTGGATATAATTTTGAATTAAATAAAAGTTTATCAATAAATCTTTCTTCTGATTATCATGCATACCAAATGTCTGATTTTGTAGTTTTTTTTTTTTCAGTATTAAGATAACTTCTTTGGTTATAGTTTTTTATTAATACTTATATCAGGTATATGTTTTATATAGACATATTCATAATGAATTATCAGATGAGTGTACAACTGGCTATGCATATAACTTTTCTATATTACTTATTTAAGGAGTTTGCTCAAAAGTTCCTTACTAGTTGTTGTACCTAACACCTCTGCTTAGATGTTTCATTTAAACCCTTTAATCTAATCTTAGTATTAATTTTACCAGATCACAGACCCAGATCTATTTATTTTTAACTATAGAACTATAATCCTTAAACTATTTTTATCCTCAAGATAAATCTACCAGAATGAGTTGTATTTTCTTTTACTGCTAATCTGATTTAATGCTATAGTCAAAACTAATATTTGCAGTTAGAGTTACTCCTTAAACTACTATTATCATTGTAAAGTTCACTCAAACTCTAATACTCATCTTTTTGATTTCTTCATCATCATCCTCTACTAGCCACAACTCAGAACTAACTAACTTTTCAAACTTTCAATTCAGATGACCCAGTATGGTATACTTATATATTTTTTTTTTTGGTGATTCTGACAGTCTGATTGGTTATATGTTTCTCTATACATCTTATCATCTGGTTTATTTAACAGTTTTTATGAAGATGTTTTATAGGCTTCCATTAGTCCAATGATATCATTAAAAGTTTGTACTACTTTTTTATTCAGGATTTCTAAGTGAGTTTCTATTTTCTCAGTTTCTTAGTCTTTTACACCTAGTAGTCTTATTACAGGTTTGTACTGAAACCTTATATGATACTGGTTTTTCATATTCCTCTATATATATATAACATTATATTTCGCATAGATGCTCCAAGCTTCCAATATCAGGTAGGGTCCAACTTGGTGTACCTAAGATTACAGATACCAAAACCCAACCAATCAGCAAGAGACAATTACCATAATACAAGTATAATTTTCAAAATTCATTGTCTGTAGGAATAAACCTTAGATCTGCCACTTGAGAGTTGACAACTTATCTATTTCACTATGTCAGCACACTCTTGATTTTGTAGTTTGTATTACTATAAAACTTTGTAATATTATAGAAAATAGTTATTTATATTTTAGAAATAAATTATTAAAAAGTCTTGATTTGTTAAATAATGATCAACTTGCTAAACTTGTTTCAGATCTTGAATGTAATGCTAAAAAAGCATTAAAACTTTATTAAAAATAGTTAAATTGTTGGTTACATTTACCTTTAAGTGTTTGTTGACTAGGTGAAAAGTATGGATGAAAATTTGTATGAAGCTTTGATATATTGTTTTAGAAATACCTTTATTATTAATATCATCATTACAAGAGCTATATTATATAAACTTTATCAAGTTAGATACTGAATCTGGTGAATTCAATAATTTCAGATTATTAGCTGTTCTATAAGATCCTAGGTTTTACTATAAATTTAATCAATTCATTCAAGAATAAAAATCTTTAAATGAATTTTCTAAAGTTTTTGAATTTGTAAAGCATTAAATTTGGTACATTATGATTCATCAACAAGAAGTCAAAGGCCTTTTCAACAAATGGGATCTTAAAACCTATCAAAATATATCAAGTGATCTTCAACAATCAAAGATGCGACTTGCAAGTATACCACTTAATGAAATCAGTTGTAACTCTTCTAATTTATTGGAATTTAGAACCAAAAAACATCAACAGCAAGCATGATTTATCAATGATCATTCAAGCAAGGAAAATCTTAATGACAATGAATGTGAAGAAAAAGCAAATAAATTGTTCAATGATTTATTTGAACGAAAATAAAATAATAAATGATAAATTTGATTTATACTTGCACAAATAAATTGTTCGAAATAATTAATATAATGATAAAATTGATTTACACTCGTGTAACATAAAAATCTGCAATATAATAATTTATATAGTTGACTTACATAGTTTTGTTTAATTAATCGGTGCCCCACCCCAACGTAGTACGCCGAAAGTTAATACGTGTAGTTTTTCTACAGAGGTAGTTAGTAGAGTAGTACTGTACGATTGTACGAAAATTGAGCAAAATTTTGATAGTACTGTAGCACGTACGGTTAACCTAGGTTTGTAGAATTAAATCTTTATTACGCATAAGTCCATTATCCATTTGGCACAAGGATGTGACGAATAATTGGGTGTGGCCAATAAGCATTGTGTTTAATATAATTATTTAGTTAATGCTTACTCGCCACCTGATGATTCGTCACATCCTCATGCCAAATGAAAGAGGAAACCTAACACTTTACAAGTAAACCCTTTTTAATGTTTATGGTTAGGGCAAGTGCGAGCATTGTTCTTTTTTCGTGCGAGGTTATAGGAAAATTAGCTTTGTCTCGAAAGAATTTTTTATTTTACAAACCATAAGCTTACGTACTATCATGATTTCCACATGTCAGTCCCAATTTGCGTCTAATTTGCTATATACCCTTTCTACAGGATTCGAGTGCAGCTAGCTTACAATAAAAGTTTTTTTTTATGTCAAGCAAACCTTTTCTTGAGTTCTAACAAAGATTATAGAGCAAGTATTCCGGTTCTAATAGTGGTATTCAAATTGGTTTGGTAGATCGCGAGTTAATTTTTTTTTAACTTTATGGTTTTTACATATTGCCAGAAACCTTCGGCATTCCAACCTTATATGAAAGTAATAGTAATTCTCTACTGATCTACCAGATTTTAACGGTGGGGTTGAATTGGGAAGTGTAGACTTGTTCTTGCCCGAATTTTTGAAAAAGTATTGCCTATACTGTGTTTATAAATGTCGATTTTGCCTTTGCTGGGCTTGATTTATGATTGATCTTTCTTAGGCACAAATTTAAATATTGAAAGTTTGTTCTAAGTATGTTTAATTGCGGGTTTTTTTTTGGATCAAAGTATATCCGTTTTTTTAAAAAAAAAATTTAATTACAGTATATACGTTTTATTTTCTGTTAACTCTAGTTTTTTTGTCTTCAATTTTGTTTTTTTATTTTTTAAATTTTTTTTGTAAAATTTTAATTAAAATAATTTTCAATTAAAATAATTTTTGAGTATACTATTGGATTTTAAAAAGTTTTTTTTAGTACTATTTTATTTAAATTTACTAAATGATTTTTTTGTTAATATATTGTACTGTGTTTTATTATTCTAATTTTTTTATTTTGATATGACTTTGTTTTATTTATTAATAAGTTTATTACTGTATATAGGTATTAAATATTGAAACAATTCATTTTTTACAATTTTTTAAATTTTTTTTTAATTTGATTTTGAATAAATACCTATTCAATAAAAAATTTGTTATAAAAGTTAATTGTATAGTAAAAGGATTTACAAAATGAACTTGATGTAAAAAATTTAGTTATTTAAAGAGAATTGGTATTTATATCTTTTATTTTTGATATTTATACTTTTTATTAAACAAAAAATGCTTCAAAACAAATATTGTTGTTAAGTAAACCTCTTTAATAGTCTTAAACAAAGTTGTTTCTTATGCTTTTTTGATTCTATATAATAAAAAGAGTAAAATTATAAAATTAGGTTAGAAATTCTTGAGTTATTCATATTTAAATTTAACAAATATTAATTTTAAATAATATTACTAATCCAATTTCAATAATGTTGTTATTATTAGAACCATAAAAGTATACGTAAGGAACGAGTTTACTTAAGACTACTAAAAAGGTTTACTTAATAACAATATCTATTTTGAAGCACTTTGTTTAATAAGAAGTACATATGAATATCAAAATGGATCAATTCCCTATTTAAATCCAATTTACTCAAAATGATTTACATGTAAAACTGGGCCATTATTAGGCCATGCAAAATTAATTAATTGGTTTTCATAAACCAGCCGGGTCAAATTTTGAAAAATTTTTTATATGTTTTAATAATGATCGGGATGGGTTTTTAAAAAAAATATTTAACATGAAACTTTTAAATAGACCTGGTCGGTCGGCTTTTTTTTTTTTGAAAACCAAGATATTAAATTTGTGTTGCCTTACAAAATTTTTAGTTTTTTTTTAACGTGTTATTTTAATATTAATATTAATATAGTATATATGTACAGTATAAGTATATAATTTAACTATATAGTTTAGTATTAAACTCTTGAGTCAGACCTTGCAAAAATCTTACATTTTGCGATAGCATTAAAATATTCTAGATCTAGGTATTAACCAAGTTTTCATATTTTGTCAGAAACCTCGTTAATACCTCGTTAATAGTGCTAGCGATAGTAAGAAGCTAAATTTACGACTTACTATGAAAGTTTCCTCTTGACGACCTATAATCTTAATAAATTACACTAGACACGTATAGCATATTTTTAATGCTATCGCAAAAATGTAAAAAGTTTACGAAAGTAGTTCAAATTGGTCAAATTAACCAGGTCAATTAACTATCTGTAATAATAAATTTGTGATTTTCTGATCGATACATATTTTCAAAACCTGCAGCAATAAAGACATTATTAAATTAAATTGTATAACATTAACAGCAGTTTTAACCATTATAAAAATTTAAATATTTTATGATATTTTTTTTTTAATAAAAGTTTTTTTTTGAATAAATAATATGATGTATTGTGTGTTAAAAATAAAGAAAACGATCGATTACATAGACAATTAATATTTGAAGTGCAAAAAAAGTACTATTCATGCGTATCTTGATACCTTTTTTTGGAACCCTATTAGTACGGTAACTGTATATTATTTCATTTAATGCTGTAATTTAATACTATATATCTTGTTTGCATTAGTGCGCGAATCTCGGCCAATTCTAAAATTGGGATGTACAAGCTGCAGCACAAGCATTTATCTGTAGATAAACATTTGAACAGAAGTCCATACACGTGACAAAAATAAATCGATCTCATGATTCTGCGGTTCAAAACTAAAGTGTTGGGCTATACTAAAACACACCAAAAATATATATCAAAAAAATATATTTACCCGGGAATTATTCATCACTCAGCTTAAAGGTTAGTCAAATTACACACATTCATAAATTATAAATTAGCCGAAGTTACAATTGTAATCTTTCGCCAGAGGTTGTGTTCTCTATTAATTGGTGAGTGCATATGCGATTTTCGCCGATGTAACCCGTATATAGAACGGTAGTACATTGCTGTATGCGGGAGTAGTGGATTTGCATTCGTATTCTTACGATGTGGTTGGTGATGTTGAATGAACGCAGCTGCGAATATATTTATTTTATAACGAATTGAATATAATGAAATTAGGGTATATAAAAATAAGGTCACTACCCTCAAATTTTAATATAATTGGTGAAATTTGATTTGTCTACCTATTCATTGATTGGTTCTTAACTATTTCTACAACCAACCACTTTCTGCAACTCCATATTAAGCTGGGTGAGTATTGTTTTTCTGTTGTTGTTTCGTGCATCCTGTGATTTACGCGTACGGTACTACAGAGAAAATTTTAAAGGTCAAATTTTTTTTCCTCTCACTTGCTTGCTCCGGTTTAACTCACTTTTTTCCCTTTCAAAAGAGTAAAAAAGAAAAAAATAGTGCGTACAGCTTTTTAAGCCTTGACTGGTCGTTTTATAAACGCTAATAATCATTTTCATTACAAACACGTTCTACCTTCTTTTTGTTCCTTGAACAATTCAACTTTCTTAGCCTTTCCCCCTATACAAACTATCCTATATGACCATGAGAGAAATCGTTCATTTACAAACCGGCCAATGTGGTAACCAAATAGGTGCTAAATTTTGGGAAGTTATTTCAGATGAACACGGTATCGATTACTCTGGTACTTATGTCGGAGACGCTGACCTCCAGTTAGAAAGAATATCCGTTTATTATAATGAAGCCAATGGTGGAAAATATGTTCCACGCGCCGTCCTTGTTGACCTTGAGCCTGGTACTATGGACTCTGTTCGTGCTGGTCCTTTCGGTCAACTTTTCCGTCCAGACAACTTTGTCTTTGGTCAAAGTGGTGCTGGTAACAACTGGGCCAAGGGTCACTATACTGAGGGTGCTGAACTTGTCGACACAGTTTTAGATGTCGTTCGCAAGGAAGCTGAATCTTGTGACTGCTTACAAGGTTTCCAAATAACTCACTCTCTCGGTGGTGGTACAGGTGCTGGTATGGGTACTTTACTCATCTCTAAAATCCGTGAAGAATATCCTGACCGTATGATGTGCACATTTTCTGTCGTCCCTTCACCCAAAGTATGTATAAATTTCATTAAATGAATGGTGATTAATTACATTATGTTTTTAATGTGAACGCGTTTCTTAATGGTTTAATTTAATTAATTAATATTAGGTTTCGGATACTGTTGTTGAACCATATAATGCAACTCTTTCTGTACATCAATTGGTTGAAAACTCTGACGAAACATTCTGTATCGATAATGAAGCTTTATATGATATTTGCTTCCGCACATTGAAATTGAATACACCTACCTATGGAGATCTTAATCATTTAGTGTCTGCCGTCATGAGTGGTATCACCACATGTTTGCGTTTCCCTGGTCAATTGAATGCTGACTTGAGGAAATTAGCTGTCAACATGGGTAAATTTCTTCTAGATGAATATATTAATGTTAAATTTTTTACATTTATTTACTTGTCATACTTATCATACTTATCATTTATTATTATTATTATTTTAGTTCCTTTCCCACGTCTTCACTTTTTCATGGTCGGATTTGCACCATTAACTTCTCGTGGTTCTCAAGGTTATCGCGCCTTGACTGTTCCTGAGTTGACTCAACAAGTTTTTGATGCCAAGAACATGATGGCTGCCTCAGATCCTAGACATGGTCGTTATTTGACTGTTTCTGCTATTTTCCGAGGTCGCTGTTCTATGAAGGAAGTTGAAGATCAAATGTTGGCTGTTCAAACAAAAAATAGTTCATACTTTGTTGAATGGATTCCTAATAATGTTAAGAGTAAGTAAAATAATTTGAATTTGATGTTTTATGTAATATAAATAATAATGTCGAAAATCTTCAATTGTAATATTTTAGCTGCCGTGTGTGATATTCCACCACGAGGTCTTAAAATGTCTGTTACTTTTATTGGTAACTCTACATCAATCCAAGAATTATTCAAACGTATTAGCGATCAATTCACTGCTATGTTCCGACGTAAGGCTTTCTTACATTGGTATACTGGTGAGGGTATGGACGAAATGGAATTCACAGAAGCAGAATCTAACATGAACGATCTGGTATCCGAGTATGTATAATACGTATTAATTTATCGATTGATATTTATATTTTTACATTAATTTTATTAATTTGTAATTTACCACTTATCAGATATCAACAATACCAAGAAGCTACTGCTGAAGAAGAAGCTGAAGAATATGAGGAAGAATTGGAACAAGATGGAGACATCTAAAACTACACACTTAATGCATAATATTCATTATATTTCGCATCCATCATCATATATATACATATATATATTACATTTTTATGATCTATTTTTTTTTTCTTTTATATAAACACGACTTCTATTTTACTTAAAAAAAAAAAAAATCCATAGTATTTTGCTTCTAAATAAAGGTCGTTTTTTCGCGAGTGACAATTATCAAATATTGTAATGAGATATAAGAATTATTTTAAAATTTTATTTATAATTAGACATTTTCATAACATAGTAGCGAGCATTTCGTGTTACATGTTTGGCAAGCATTTTATAATAGAAAATAAAAAATTAGGAGTTCTTTGGGCTTAATTAGCCAATTAAAATTGTTTGTTCAAACGTGTCATGTCACATGATTTATTGACTACTTCCGTAATACCGATACTGTAATATCGTTATGATAAATTGGTGATAAATATGGCCATATGGTCCTTTTAGAATTATTTGCACTACATTAAAAAGGAAACCACACACAATCAGATAAGAATTTTTTATACAAATAAAAAAAAGTACAATGGGAGCGTCACTGAATGAGTGTGATTATCATAAATAAAGCCGGATATCCTTTAATTATGTAACAAAGAATATCAAAATACTCTGAAGATAACATCGCGTGATTCCAACTTTAGGTGCAATTTCCACGTTTTTTCTATTTTATTTTATTTATTTTTTACTTTATATTTTTTTTTTTTCTTACTTAATGTGAAACGGATACAAGCGATTTCTGATTTGGATCTTATACAAGGCGCAATTTCAGGTTTAAACTGAAAACTTTAATTTTTGTATAAAAACTTATTTGATCTATAGCCTTTCCTTTTCAAGACGGTACCCCGAAACAGAATTCAAAAACGATCCCTTTTTTTGACTGTAAGAGGGATCCCCAAACATTTTTTATCATTAAATCAATCGTATTACCAATTATGATGATTCATCACTCAACAAACTTAAAAATTGACGACAAAATCTTGCCAAGTGACAAATTTGGTGTAATTCACTATCTTGAAGTGTAAAAAAACTTGTTCTTGTACAAGTTTTCTTTCTTTGATTTAACTCCTGTTTCAGATGCTTTGAACGCATAAAATACTGCGGTAAAGATCATGTACAATACTAAACAGCAGCGATTTTAGTTGACAAGCTGTTGTATTGTCTATTTTTGATATCTAATCTAATGATATTTGAAAAATAGTTAACCAGTTAGAATCATTACTAAGCGGATATTCGTGGCGGTAAGTTTGTACATATATTGTGCCCCAAATGTTAATGCCAGTTGAGCGGCCTAGACTTTAATTTACCAATTTTATCTAAATAACTGGCCTAAATTAATTTGTTGAGATTTATAGTTTTCGCCGGATTGACATTTAGGAAAATTGACATCTGGAACACAACATATAGATATATATGTATATGTGTTATAAATCATACGAGCATTCTATGTTGCTAATTCTATTACCTAAAAACGGTAATAACCTCACTTTCACAAATTTATGGTGAATCTTATGATTGTATGAGTGAAACTAACTTTCTAAGTACGTACGCATGTACGAGTTCAGAAGAGCATTGGTCTCGGCCAATAAGGATTTCTCATGTAATTACGAATAATCTCCATAATCCTTTTTTTTTTGGATGACGGCTTATTTCCATCCTAGGGTAACAAGATGTTTTATGTTCCTTATGATTGATCTATGTGTTGTAAGCACTTTGGAGGATGGATCAACTTAGGTGAAATCTAAGGTTTACCATGATAATATCTAAATAGAAATAATAAATTACATATGTACTTACGTATGTACCTATCTATTTGTTTACTCTTAGGTAGGGGTGGATCAGTCCGGAAAAACCGGGTTTTTAACCGGTCTCACAGTCATTCAGCCCCCCGGTCTTGACCGATCTTTATAATTAAAAATAGCTACAAATAGGTACGAAAAAGTATTTTCTATTGCTATTGTTATTATTTTATATACTTATTATATTATATTGTTATATATTATATCTAGAATGCAGTAAATACGTACGTATCTAGTTCAAAACCATGATTTAAAGTTATAATAAACATAGAAAAATCTATACGTACACATATATGGTTTATAAAATATAGTAAATTTTAGTGTTATTTATTTGAAAATTTTAATATTTGTTTGGTTTTAATAAATTAGATATATATAAATTTATACTATGTATTATATTTTATAATTTTGTCAAATTATATTATTAGTATTATATTTAATATTAAAAAAATCAAAATTTTTAAATTTTTATATCTTCAGATTATTTTTTTAAAAAATTTAATTGAAAATATTTTGACAACTATTTAATCGAATTCAATAAAATTTTGGGTTTTATATTTTTTTACTTATTTAATATATTATTATATACTTATAAAATTATGTAGTTTGTAAGACAAGTAAATCTATTAATCAGAATATTAAAAAGTCAAATTAAAAATTAATATTAGAAACAGCTTATAATTTTTTTAAATTATTTAAATTTGAAGTTTAAAAAAAAAATAATATATTAAAGTATTAGAGATATGTTATAAAGTAAAGATTAATATACTAAAACATTTATATTCTTTATTTGAAAACTTTTAATATTATTGTTACAAAGTAGATTTTAGTATAATATATTATAAATAGCATTAGTAGTTATATATATTCTTTATTGTATTTTATATCTTATAGTATTATTATTAGTTATTAGTTATTAGTTAGTCGATAGTTAAATTATATAGTAGATAGATAAAAAAAGAATCTTAATTGGCTATTAGAAATGTGGTACAGCTACATAACACTGAGTAACATCTGTGATGTTACTATTGTCTTACAATCTCCAAGTACCTCTGTACAAGTTTCATGTATCTTAGCACCAAATTACTGTGCTGAATGCTGCAGTACAAGAATCTCAAGTATTCTTGACATAAACCCTAAGTGTCCCTACATGAATCCCAACTATCCCTGCACAAATTCCAAGTACCTTTGTACAGGATTCAAGTGCCTAAACACAAGCCCCAAGTGTTTCAAGCATGAATGACAAATGATATAAACAATATCCCTAGTTATCTTTGCACAGTCCCTACTACTCTAAGCATAGTATTATTTAATATTGTTCAAACTTTTACTATTCCAAGTACAATAATATTTAATGTTGTTCAAACTCCTATTACTCTAAGTATAGTATCAAGTAATGTTGCTCAAATTTCTATTATCTCTGCTAGGTAAAAAGATATATAAAGGGTAGCTTTTACTCTTCCTTGCCAATTCTAAGTTCCTATACTTCAATCTAGACTTTTCTATCTTTACCTCTAACTTGTAAAAGTGATATTCCCTCTCTAAAGTAATTCCTACAGGCAAGGTTGTCACTGTGTGTTTATTTAATAAAAGTTAATTTATATACTGTTACTATCTCGAACCATTTGCCTGCTGCTATGTAATAAAGTGAACTACTACACCTCCACATTGTATATATTTGCAATAGTTAATCACTGTACTGGGTGACCTTGTTACTTGGTTGTATTGTACCAAGAAGGCTACAACCCTGTAACATTTTGGTGCCT